GGCCTCGGCAGATGGCCGCTCACACTGAGCCTGGTTCTGCTGGAGGTTTCTTCCTGTTAAAAGGGAGTTTTTCCTCTCCACTGTCGCTACAAGCATGCTTAGTGTGGGGGATTGTATTTGAGTCAATGAGTCAATGCAATCAACTGGTTTTCCTTAGATAGAAAACTTTGTATCAATTTGACTGTATGATCTGGTTGAACTGTAAAGTGCCTTGAGATGACATGTGTTGTGAATTTGGCGCTATATAAATAAACTGAATTGAATTGAATTACATGCATTTTTATGCTGCAACTCCCTGAAAGCGGGGAGTACCAAGATGGCGGCAGGTCTATCAGCAATCCAGTGAATTCCTTAAAGGAAACATTTCTTTTACCTTGCAAGCAAGATGAATTGTCACGACATCTTTGAATTCACAAACTACCCAAAAAAACACGTCATACCAGAAGCCTCAAAAATGATATGTTCCCGACCAATGAAATGCAGTGACATTTATCACGTTAACTAGAAGCGGCAAGCTGAAGCAAAACCAACATGGCTGCACCGCTGGACATACCTGTAGACGGCGCTTTTCAGTCTGTTTTAGCTGGAATACCCAATAGAATTTTTTTGCAAAACGAGCAAATGGTCACAATTTGTGTCTTAGTTCCTTCTGACCGCAATTGCAAAATTTTGATTTATCAGTTTACTCCTCCGTTTCTGTTCAACTTTAAAGTAGGATTCCAACAAATTTGCATGTTCTTTTCATGTTTGGATGGATGGATGGTTTTCTGATAGCAAATTTTCTAAAAAGAATTAACTCAGAGTTCCATGGTTTCAGATCCAATTTAAAGATCTCTCCAATTAGATGTAACCCATTATCTAGAGTCTAACCTCTGTTTAATCTAACCCCTGGATCTATTTGCCATCCAGTGCCATGTGTCTGAGTAAGCCTGAGACAGACAGCAGCGAAGAAACACGAAGATCCTCAGTGCCACAGCCTTTCCTTTCCTCTGCTAATCAGACTTATCAGCCAAAGAGAAGCAGTCCTAAGGCAGCTGCGCCCAGACATCAACCTGACCGCTCGATTACATTTGGAGCTCCCTGAGCCGGTCGCCTCCTCTATAACACTGCTGCCTAATCTAGGCCATACACTATTTTCCAAGAAGCCGGGGATGGATGCTGTTTCTAAGAGACATGACATCTAGAGTCGGTGAGTCGGCATCGGTGGCGTGATGCAGCATGGTTCGCTTGAGCTCTTATCAGCTCTACGCAGCTCTTTTAGCAGCGAGCAGGGTGAAAGCAGGGTTCTAACACTCCAACAAACATTAAATTCTACCTGCTGCTCTCAATGTGCTGAGTGCAGGGCTGTTTTCATTGTTGAACACACCGTAGATCACATTCCGTCACATTATTACATCAAAACGCACTTTAGCACCATGGATTAGATCCTAGCTTAATCTATATACATAATGATAGTGATTATAACAACAGCAGTGATTAAGATAATAATGGAGCCCATGTTCAAAGGCAGAGCAGCACACATGAGTGGCACCAGCCTGATGGGAGACACAGAGGGCTGAGTAGTTTGAAAATAAACCTGACCCCTGGTTTCCTCAGGCTTGTCTTATTTCATCTTCCAGAAGGAGATCCATCATAAAGATCCCTTCCATAAGATCCTAGATGGGGGTTTTAGCTTTGATCAGTTGCTGCACAGCGGAGAGCACTTAATGCTGGAGGGCCACTCCTTCCCTCTCTGCTCTCTACATCTACTCGCTTTGACAGCAGCCTGACCCATAGAGCTGGACAATTTCCCTTCAAGACCGCTGGCAGAAATGCTGTAGACCTAATTGGGTTATCCTTGCATGAGGGTGCAGAGACACAAACATATGACCGGATCCCTGCTGCGACACGACCTCATTTATCTGGGGTTTTTTTGCCTCTGTGATGACAGGCTCCGCAGCCACAGCTTTAGGAGTTAATCTGGAAAATACTGTAATGTGGAGTTTTATGGGTGCTCGTGCCAAAGGTTACCTCACATACACTGGCAACACTTTAGGTTAAAAGGTACAGATTAGCCTTTTGATGACCTATAACAATTAAAATCTCCTCTCAGGACCGATCTTCAATTTTCTTCATGATCAGCGCAAAAAATTGTTTCGTCTTTTTAATCAGATGGAAAACATACGAGTTAATCAATCAAATGTGCTAAGCTTTTCTAAATCTGATTAAATCTGCGTACTACAGCCCATGACTTTTCAATTAAATACTGGGAGCTGCAGCGACCAATACAGTCTCTCTTTTACATGGATGGGTTATCTTTCAAGATAAATCACAAATATTACTGCATAATGTGTAAGATTTATAACGAAAATAGAGTCTTGATAACAACCGTAATCAGCAGATTTAGCAGACAGGGTTCCTACAGCATAAGGCAAGTTAAATTTGAGACTTTTTACGACTTTTTAATGCCATTTCAAATACAAAGTTAAGACCAACTTCACAATAAACACAAGAAAAATCTGGTTGTCTCAAATTTACCGAAATTTTTATTTTAAATCTAACTAAAAGAATGTCTAGTTTTAGTTTTGTTCCAAAACTACAACACAAACGAAACTCTGCTTTAATTGTATGCGTACGGCCATACATTACCCAGAGATTTGGTGCTACTAGAATTCAATGGCGTAACTATCGGTAAGCAGAAACTGTAGTTGCCTAGGGGCCCCGTCACTGGTACCTGGTTGGCTCCTTACGCAATTGTGGACACTAGGACGTCTCTTTGCAGATGTAATGATGCAAAAAATTCCTGATACTAGATTGACTGACCGGACCTTATTTATACCCCAACACATGCCAGATTTTAACATGATTGTAAGCCTTTTAAACATAACACCAATAGCAAAGCAGACAGTGGTACTTTTAAATACTATATTAATAACTGTGTATAGTTCATTAGACGGTTGGTAAAAAATACACTCATGTATGTTTCAAACATGTTTTACACTACGACTTGGAATTATGGGTAATCCAGAACGTAGATTAAAACCATAACCATTAGGTACAATGTGTTAGCGACGATGTATACCAAAATAATGTACTTAAGCAGATTCCAGAAAAGAAAAAGCAAAGAACAGCTGCTGGAAGAACGGAAAAAACTTCCCCAAATAAACACGATCTTTCAAAGAACCAAAGAGGGAAAGGTGGACGTTGCTGCTACAGTGAGTGAAGATTGTGACCAGGAGATGAATGGAGAGAGCGTGGGTGAGCAGGGGGGCTTTGAAGCTCAAAGTAGCCCTATAAGATTTTTACAGCAGAATATACTAAACTATATCCATGTCTAGTGAAGCGCCAGCAATGGCGCTGTTGTTGATGTCAGAGATTGCTGTGGAGGCATTGCAGAGACAAGGGTGGAAAAGAACTGAGAAATACCTGCTGCATCTCGGTAACTTGATTTTGATGCTTTGAGTTTTACGCTTCACATATGTGACTCCACTGCCTTGATTCCCATCATGCCAAGCTTGAATGACTTCTTGCACAAAATCCACCATGCCTCACGTACATTCCCCGGTACTGGTTTAAGTCAAGCAGAAAACTCTTGGCTGGATAGCCAATTTTCATTATCTTTATTCTTCCGCACATTGTCAAGATAAAAAGTTAGTGACGCATCATCCCAAAGTAATGCCGTTACATTGTTTTTATTGGTTCTGCTGTTGGGTCAAAACCAATAATGGTTACAGCGAGCCGTTTGGTAAATGTAAAAAAAATATTGTCAATTATTTTAATATTTGATATGGATAACAAAAATAAAATCTTATTTAAGATGTGGTAACAATTTTAAGATGTATGAAAGAATGTTTTAAGACATTTTAATACCAATTGAGGCCTCAGTTTACATTGAAGAATTCAATGCCTTTAAAGACTTTTTAAGGAACTGCTGTAACTCTGGTAGATATAGATACTTTTTTATGATTAAAAAACAATGGCTATGCAAAACGTGACGGCATGGTTCAGTAGGAAATATAGATAGGAGCTGTACAATTTTACCCAGATTGGTTCCGATGGTCAACTGTTGTTCTTAAAACTATTATATCCTATTTATCCATTTATTTATTTGCCTACAAACAAGTGTTGAATATTAACAAATACCACACACTTAAACATTCATAGCCTGTTAAGATGCTTGTCTCCTGATTTTGGTTGCTATTATTATTTAATATTTAATTATGGAACAAGATTTGAAAAGGAGATATGAAACAAAACAACATCAAAAAAAGTAATTAAACTATATCTGGCCATTGTTAACCAATACACCGAAAGTGCTTCAATCTAGAACTAGAAATTAGTGCCAGCATGTGAACCAAGAAATGCCTCCGATTTTGTCTTAGACGCTTTGATACATTTTCAAAAGTTGGAAAGGAAACAAATAAAGGTTTGGGACAGAGGTTATTCTAGCATTTTCTGTTAGATTATGTTGCAAACGCCCATCAAAGAACTTTCAGGACATGGCATCTGTTAGAATAAAGAGTTAAATTTGGTAATAGACTCTGATGCCACTAACTTAAAAACATAGGAATCTTTGCATCATAAATAATTGTTACTTTCCTGAGTAAGATGCATTTTATTTAAACTCAAAACTGTCAAACATGGAGAATCTCAGATGTCTAATAATATTTCTAAAAAGGGGAGATTCCTTGAGATATCATTTTGCTTTGTGTCTTTTCTAGTTGGAAATATTGGATCCATTCAAACTTCATGTTTTCCAAAAGTCATTCAATCACAGGATAAAAAGTCATGTTAAAGTGATCTAGTCTGGGTTGTAGAAATGGAGGAAAGCAAAGCAGAAAGGAAACCTGGACTCAGCAGAATAAAGACACCAAAAAAGTCAAATAGCTTAACTCCACAATTTCTAACACTTAACTGCAGCTTAGTTTCGGTTCAAAATGTAATTGTTGTTCATTGCCGGCTCAGATAAGCTCAATAACCGCTTCAGTTTAGTAAAAGGTTTGACTTTTCCCAGCGCTTACCATCTTCCTTCTCGTCGAACACTGGTCTCTTTGAAGAACTGTTGGCTCCCATCCTCTTCTTCCACTTGCCCCAGTGAAACATTGATGCTCAAATTGCATTCCTCGCCTCTTGGAGAGAAACTACAGCTCTGCGTTAGACACCCTCCGCCTAGGAAACAGACAGCCTTGCATTTCACTCCGTCTGGTTTGGGGGATGTTTCTGTTTATCTGTCCGGGTCCTTTTCCTGCCGGTAATCTGAAGCAGCGCGAGTAAATGAGAACAATTTTCTTTAAAAAAAAAAAAAAAAAAAAGAAGAAGAAGGAGAAAAAGAAGTATTTAGAGATGAGATGGGAGGGCGTGCAGCGGGGAGGAGTGTTGATGTGTTGTGGATCAGACAGTTTTCTGGAAGTTGGATGTTCAAACAGTGAGTGGATGTTTGTTGCGCTCAGCTGTTTTCCGCAGACAGACCAATGCGCTTCTGTTTCATCTCTGCTGCTGCTGCGAGAAGAAGCTGCCTCAAGTTACCTGAAAGCACACAGGAAGCAGATTTAAATACTTTAAAAATAAAATCCTTTGTCAAAATTATACCTTTTAAAACATAACTTGAAAACAACTGGCAAAACGAAACTTTATATATAAAGCGTAAAATGTATCAATATATATGATAAACAAGTTGTTTACTATATATATATATATATATATATATATATACATATACTTATTACTTACTTTATTGTATGTCTTGTACCATGTCCGTTGGTTGTGCTGTTCTTTTTATATCTTTTTGCAGGTGATGAAGCAGACTGAAAATGTTTTATCGTTATCTCCGTTTTATCTCCCCTTTCTTTCCTCTTTTCTCCTTTTTTTCTCAGTTTTTCCTTTCCTGTTCTACTTACATTGCAGTGTCCATATAATCCATAATACTCCCTGCATAATTATAATAAAGCTATTTATATGCCGAAATCACGCAGATCACTATGGTGATAGCCGTAATGCTCCACCTGTGAAAGTAAAATCTGTTTGGCTCTTTTTGGCTTCAACACAATTATTCTAATTGCCACATTGCCAGACTGGACACTGTAAAAAAAAAAAAAAGGTATCTATACATTACTCTATTAATTATTTTTCTTCCTACTTCTGACTTCTACTCATTACGTTTTCACACATGTAACGGTACTTTCTATTCCTTACATTTTTAAAACAAGTGTTACTCTTTACTCTTAGCTATGGTTTAATGTTCATATTCACATCTAGTGAAAACTAGTGTAATTGGATCAGTAATATAATGCAAACACTCATTGGTTAGCCAAAGGAAATCATCAGAAGCGAGCAACTGCAAACGTGTATTGTCTATGCCATGCTACAATGTATGATTCAGAGAAAGATGTTGACATGTCTAAAAGGTCTGACACGGGCGAGAGCGTATCGGGAGTAGTTTTTGGAGCACATACTTTTTCACTTTTACTTGAGTAAAGAGGTCAAGTTGATACTTAAACTTTTACCAGAGGGTTTTTAAACTGCAGTATCTATACTTCTACTTCAGTAACATATGTGTGTTCTTTTGACACCACTGATTTTATATATATATATATATATATATATATATATATATATATATATATATATATATATATATATATATATATATATATATATATATATATATATATATATATATATATATATATATGTGTGTGTGTGTGTGTGTGTTTTGGGGGGGGGGGTGGTTAGTTGATAGATAGGTATTTTCTTGTTAGTTTAAATATTATCAGGTGGTACTATAACTATCCTTTTTTTAGAACTATAGCTTGTTTGTGTTCTGTGTGACTGGGCATTTCTGTTATTTTTAATTATTTATTTATTTATTTTTCATTACTGGATGATAACAATGTTCCTACTATTATTATCTAAGTAAGCTATTGAGACTTTTATTTAGAAAACATAGAGGCCATTAGCAGGAAGTCATATCTCACTAAGTTTCCTAACTGGACGTTCATTTGCAGGGCTGGCTCACTGACTGGTTAAACACACACCAGCCAGGAGAGCTGGCTGCTACTTTATGTAGATTTAGATCCCAGAGAAGGAGACGCCCTGTTCATCTCAATAATAATGAAAATGTTTTAATTCAGTCCATTTATTTATTTTCAAAGGTAAATTGATTAAGGACGGTTTTGGCCTAACATTGTAAGGTGTATTAGCTTCAGATTTGATTTCTTTGGATCCTGTTAATTTTGTCAAACTGATCATGATAACAGGCAGATAAACGAACGCATGTTTTTGTATTTAAAACGATATGAAACAGATAAACATAAAGTTTTTTTTTTCTTCTATTTGAAGGTTTAGCTCCTCCCACGTCTGCCTGACCGGGTTCTTGACCGGCGGGCAGTAAAGGAACTGTCAACGCAAAAGTCTGCGTGTCGGCAACAATTTTTACATAAAACAATGAACAGTTTGAAATTCAATTCAATTCAGTTTATTTATATAGCGCCAATTCACAACACATGTCATCTCAAGGCACTTTATAGTTTAACCAGATAATACAGTCAAATTGATTCAAAGTTTTCTATCTAAGGAAAACCAGTTGATTGCATCGACTTATTGACTTGAATGCAATCCCTCACACTAAGCATGCCTGTAGCAACAGTAGAGAGGAAAAACTCCCTTTTAACAGGAATAAACCTCAAGCACAACCAGGCTCAGTGTGAGCAGCCATCTGCTAAGGCCCACTGGGGTTCAAGGAAACAGAAGCAGAGATACAAAAAGCAGCTGTAAAAGGCGGCCCCGTCCAGGAAACACACAGCCAGGCAGACGAGCTCCGAGCCAGCTCCCATGTCAGAGGATGAGAAGAGCACATCCAGCCAATCACAGTCAGAGAAACAGGACTACACTAGAAAAACAGGCCGTTCTCCAACATCTATAAACAAAGGTGTTGATGGCAGCAGCACAGCTGATATTTCTCTCCAGGATGGTGTCACAGCCAAGCAGGAACAGATGAGGCGGCTCACGGTTCCGCTAATAAAGAATAAATCACATGCCACCTGGGCGCCTTTAAAAAAAAACAAGAGTACAAATGTATTTGCTTTGCAATATATATTCATTTTACCCAGTTTCTACCTCTGTCATTTAAATAACATGCTGCTGTCATTTTACACATCTCTGATTTTGCTGCTATTTTCTAATATCCATTACTGTAAAAATGTCCATGGCTATATAACGGTTATTTATTCTCCAGGTGCAGTTTTTTTTTTATATTATTAGAACACTTCACCGTACAGTATTTTATTAATCTGTTATCGCTATTCTTATACATTTTTCTAAGGTCCATATTTGTGTGACAATATTTTTCTATAAACTTTTTGCTGCTGGAAACACCAGAATTTCCCTATTGTTGAACAATAAATGGATTTTCCATTCTATTTCTATACTAGTCAGTAATATATTATTAGTTAGGGTCAGTTCTATATTTATATAGAACAGTAAATTTACTGTCATATGTTTATATTACTGTTTATATATATATATATACACTCACCGGCCACTTTATTAGGTACACCTGTCCAACTGCTCATTAACACTTAATTTCTAAGCAGCCAATCACATGGCAGCAACTCAGTGCATTTAGGCATGTAGACATGGTCAAGACAATCTCCTGCAGTTCAAAGCGAGCATCAGTAGGGGGAAGAAAGGTGATTTGAGTGACTTTGAACGTGGCATGATTGTTGGTGCCAGAAGGGCTGGTCTGAGTATTTCAGAAACTGCTGATCTACTGGGATTTTCACGCACAACCATCTCTAGGGTTTACAGAGAATGGTCCGAAAAAGAAAAATCATCCAGTGAGCGGCAGTTCTGTGGGCGGAAATGCCTTGTTGATGCCAGAGGTCAGAGGAGAATGGCCAGACTGGTTGGAGCTGATAGAAGGGCAACAGTGACTCAAATAACCACCCGTTACAACCAAGGTGGGCAGAAGAGCATCTCTGAACGCACAGTACGTCGAACTTTGAGGCAGATGGGCTACAGCAGCAGAAGACCACACCGGGTGCCACTCCTTTCAGCTAAGAACAGGAAACTGAGGCTACAATTTGCACAAGCTCATGAAAATTGGACAATAGAAGATTGGAAAAACGTTGCCTGGTCTGATGAGTCTCGATTTCTGCTGCTACATTCGGATGGTAGGGTCAGAATTTGGCGTCTACAACATGAAAGCATGGATCCATCCTGCCTTGTATCAACGGTTCAGGCTGGTGGTGGTGGTGTCATGGTGTGGGGAATATTTTCTTGGCACTCTTTGGGCCCCTTGGTACCAATTGAGCATCGTTGCAACGCCACAGCCTACCTGAGTATTGTTGCTGACCATGTCCATCCCTTTATGACCACAATGTACCCAACTTCTGATGGCTACTTTCAGCAGGATAATGCGCCATGTCATAAAGCTGGAATCATCTCAGACTGGTTTCTTGAACATGACAATGAGTTCACTGTACTCAAATGGCCTCCACAGTCACCAGATCTCAATCCAATAGAGCATCTTTGGGATGTGGTGGAACGGGAGATTCGCATCATGGATGTGCAGCCGACAAATCTGCGGCAACTGTGTGATGCCATCATGTCAATATGGACCAAACTCCCTGAGGAATGCTTCCAGCACCTTGTTGAATCTATGCCATGAAGAATTGAGGCAGTTCTAAAGGCAAAAGGGGGTCCAACCCGTTACTAGCATGGGGAAACCTTTTTAAATTGGGCGGGTGGGGTTTTATTATATATATTTATATATTATATATATATAAAAAACTTTTTTTTAAAATGTCATGATGGGTTCACTAAAAGGGGAACCCAAAAAAAAATGCAGAACACCATGAGGGGAACAAGGATAAAATTTTTAACCATTTTAAATTTATGGAAAAGGGCACAAAGAATTTTTTTTGGTTCAGGTGCGGGGCCTTGGGTTTTTCTGGTTCCCCGGAGTCGGGTTTTGGAAGGGACAGTTCATTTTAGTGTTTCCAACGAGGTTTGTTTTTCCTTTAAATTTTAAATGATTTTTACCTTGAGGGTTTTTGAGGTTAGTTTGGGAGAGCCCACTTTTGGGTTTCTGGAGAAGAGTTCTTTCAGCGATTTCCGTTTGGGCTGCTTCAGCTTTCTCACGTCCTAATTTAAAAGGGAACCCCTTTGGGTTTTGGGGGTTTTCCAGCTCTAGTCCAAAAGCTGTTTGGGGGGGTTTCCCTCTGGGGAATCTTCGGTTTTGGGGCTTAAAGGGCCCGGTTGGGAAAGGTTAGCTTTTCCTGAGTTTTCCACAAGGGGGGCCCACGGGGTTTCGGGGAAAACATTTTAAAAGGGGTTAAAAACCCAAAAGGGGATTAAAGGGGGGGAGTCATAAAAAATTTATCTGGGATCTAGGGTTTAAAGCGCTGAAAAACTGGAAAAAAACCATTTGGGGCGTTGGGAAAGGGGTTCTAAAGGGACGTTTAAAAGTGGTGGTTTCCTTTGATGATCTTTGGA